CCCCTCCCCCTGGAGGTCAGAACTTTCCCTGCAAGAATTCATCCTCCAACAGCAGGGTGCTCGCCTCCCCTGCCCTGCCCTGCCCCCCCACTCCATGAAAAAAAACCAAGAAAACAAACCCATTGCTGTTGAGTTAATTCTGACTCCTAGCAACCCTAATCCATCTTCGGGAAACTCATTAGTGGGAGAAAATTCTTCCTTTGGCTGAGTCAAACTCTGCCTTCCTAAACCTTCCACCCAGGTTCCATTCAACCTCTTGGAAATGGGGTCTATCTGACAGCCTGCCAGATGCTGGAGGGTGGTCCTCATGTCCTTTCCTGGCCTCTCACTTCCCCAGGGATCTTCTCTTCTCCTGTCTTGGTGGTCTACTACAGCATTAAAGGGGTACAGCCTGGGAGATGGGGGGGTCAAAATGACACAACCCCCTAATGGCCACCCTGACAACAGTGGGCTGACCGTGGCCACTGTATCTCCTCTCTTTATGCAAAGAGAACAGGCTGCTCAGTGTGCCAATGGTTACTCTGGCTCTGTGTTCTCAAAGAACACCAGTATCTTTGTTGTTCCCCAAACTCAATCTGAAGGCTTGCCCCAGCCTGACTAACCTCCTCCATCTCTGCTTGGCCCTGACCTGGGCACCCCCCCCCCAATCCTACTGGGCCCCAACATCCCACTCCTTCTGATTCCCATTTAAATTCACTCTGAGCAGCTCCTCCTCTGAGCCTAAGGAGTCATGAACGCAAGTACAGAGCTCTGGTTACCTTATGAAGAAGAGGTCACATTCTTCATCACCTGTGGCCTACCTAACCTGGAGTTTTAAACAAAAATGTGGGGCTTTGGGCTCAAAATGAAATGGGAACTTTCCAAGCCAACTGTCCCTCGGGAGGCAGGATGCTCCAGAACTCAGAAAAGGGGCTGTGTGCTTCACCTTCCCACCTGCCAGGGGGCGCGGCCTGGCTACAACAGACCCTTCTTTTATTGTTCCAAGCCAAATATTTTGAAGTCAAATTGCCTCTAATGAAGTTTTTTTTTTAAGATGAAGCCATTCCAAAATATTTTAATGAATCCTGACTGTGAACAAGTCAGCTTCGTGAACAAGTCAGCTTCAGGAGATTACTTTATACACAGCCAGCAGAGCTGCGAATTTCTAGAATTGAAAAGTATTAACAGCACTTCTATTAACCAGCTTATATAAGGGCCATTGCTAGGTTTCAATATACCGAAGTGTATCATTTCACTCCTGGGGGCTAGAATGTATAGGCAATAAGGTACACACAATTATACAGCAGTTACTTTATAACCTGTGTGTACACGTGTCTGCTGGGTGCCTTCCACCCAGGTCTCAACGACGCACATCCACTGGGACTGGATGGAGTGCGAGAGGTTGGCCCAGCCTCACTGCCAGCACTGATGGGTCCATAGCTCCCTTCAACATTTGAAATCAGGGCTCCATATGCAAACTCAATGTCTTCCCTTGGAAAGTCGCAGGTTAGAAGAAGTAATTTACATAATACTTCTAGGTTGCTATTAGGACAGTTAAGCACAGTATTTACACTCAGTTGAAAAAAATGTGGTAGCTCTGTAGGATGGCTGAACCCTGTCCAAGACCCAGACCCCAAAACCTTCAGGTTGGCTTTCAACGTCTTCCTGCCACTCCTTCAGGTCACCTGTTCAGAGGGCTTTCGGGGACAAGCATGGCTATTTCAAGAGTAGCCTTCAGTGCGCTGCTGTCCCTTTAAAACAGCATGGCTTGGTAAGCCTTGAGATTTTACCTTCGGAACTCCTTTACGTGGCATACCGTATGCCTTACACCCTCTATCAGTGTGTCAGACACAGTACTGGGATTCACTGATCTGAACAGATCTTAGGATGAGAGGTGGGGTCTTTGCCCTCGCCTCCCCTCTTTCCTCACCCTGAGCAAGGGCACGGTGACAAACTGATCCGACAAGGTGCCTGAAACGGGCTCTGTCTGCTCTGCATACCTGGATGCCACGCCCTTAAACAACGTGACATCCAACCAAGGTATCTATGGTGCCCAAAGTTGGGTCTTCATGAGAGGGTGTGGGGCTCTGGGACCATCAGCCCACCACAATATGCTTTAATTTGGGCAAACGAGTGAGCGTGGTTTGTCTCTGAAATACACATGTACTTTGACACAAACTTGTCTCTACAGCACAGCTTTGGAGTTATTGCTTCTAGTGAAGAAGGTGGTCCAGGATTACTGGTTGGAGTCTGATAAACACAGACAGGCAACGTGAGTTACTAGGGTCTGTGGTGGCACCTGCTTTGCAGGGCACACACACGCTGGCAGGAGTGGGCCAGCCTCGGATCGGTGCCATCTGTGGAAGCGTCTGGAAGCACTCCTGGGCTTTGTTCTACTCTACCATGTGAGGCATACAAGGCATGCAAGGATGCTAGGGGAACACACAAGGGGCCATTTCCAAAGAGCCAAAACAAACGGGTTTGACACGCATATAAACATCACTGCATCTGGTTAGAGAGTACCTTTCGCAGTGGGTGTTGGGTTTTTCTTCATTTTTGGTACAAGTGAACAGGCACCACCTGTAATCGGTCCACTATTTACAAAACATCTTAAAATAAATACTTTAGACAGAATCATACTTGAAAGGCTCTAACATGTGTACATGGATATTGTACAAGGTTAAAAACAAGGCCATATCATACAGTTTTATCATAAATCAAAAGGAAGGTATTTTTCACCAAACCCTAAGAACATATGGCTAAATATGGTTCCTGCTCTAACAGGAAATTGATGGGGTTTGGAATTGCTTATGAGGAAGGAGCCACCTGCTCTCTTCAGTAGAAGCCCTGGCCCAGGGTGCTGCGTGTTAGCCATTCCAGAACAGTCCAGTGCCCAGAAAAGGCACAGTGGTCACCTGCAGGAATTTCCCATTGCTGCTGGAACAAATGATCACGCACCTGTGGCTCTGAACGGTGCATATTTGCTAGTTCACAGTTCTGCAGGTCAGAGGACCAGATACAGCTTGGCTCAATGGGTTCTTGTTGAGGCTCATGAGGCCAAATCAAGGCACCAGCTGGGCTGGGCTCTCATCTGAGGCTCTGGAGGAGAACCTGCTTCCGAGCTCACTCAGGCTGTTGGCTAAATTCAGTTCCTTGTGGTTGTGGGAGTGAGGTCCCGTTTCCTTGTGCCTGTCAGCCGGAGGCTGCCTTCAGCTTCTGGATGCTGCCCGCATTCCCTGGCTCATGGCTCCCTCCATCTTCACAGCCAGCATTGGTGACTCGAGTCCCTCTCATGCTTTCAATCTTTCCTGACTCTTCCGCCCTGTTCTTCCACTTTTAAGTCCCCCACGACCTGTACACTGCTGCTACCACCTTGGCCTCAGAGTCTCCTCTCCTTCCCAACCCCGCTCTTAGCCAAACACCACGGAGGCCTGGGTTTGACCCTCCTGCATGGGAATGCAGTGGCTAACAGACCTGTACACCACTGAGCAGTCGGGGAGACCACCATGGCCCTCCCCAACCAGAAGGCCAGGCCAGAACAAGTCTGATGCACAGGTCTATGCTCCAGGGGGGACGTCTACAATGTCCTCTGCCCAATCCTGGAAGCTGGAGCCTCCAGGAAGGTGTGAAGCCTTTGGGAGCGGTGAGGAGAGGGACTCTGGGATCACCCCAGCCTTCTAGCTGACCAGAGGTGGGCTCAGTCAGCCCAGCAACATCTCTCTGGCTCAGCTTCAGAGCTGTGGGCCTCTGCACGCTCAGCCTCTGACCTGGAATCTTTCCTCCCTGGGATTCAGGTCTGACCTGTCTGTTCAGTTGGACCCCTTGGCCTGGCTACTTCTGCCATCCCTCCCTATAGGCCCTCCCTGGCCCATCTTCCCTCCACAGCACACCTGACATCTTCAGGGTTCATTCCCAGTATGATCCATGAGGATGCCAGGTTGGAGACTCAGATTTCATCAGCATGACCTACAGTCACTCACGTCCCCTGGAAAGGAACGTTCCTGTCCTCCAGCCTCAAACTGGAGCTGTGATGCCTGGACTTATGACAACTAGCTACCTCTGGAATACCAGGCCCTGGAGGGCTGGTTTTGCCCGAGAAACAACATGTTCTATCAAACAAACTTTCCCATGTGGTGAGGCTCGCTTGTTCTCCAGATAAACAAAGCCTTGTTCTGTTAAACTTATAGGAACCCAACCCTCCCCCACCCCGAAAAGAGAAGTGGCGCTAATCGAGCACTGACTGTCGTGTAGAAGGGGACTTTCAGGTTTACAGGAGCCAAGTGCTGTGGGAGGGGGTGATGAACGATGCACGGCAGGACAAACTCCTGAGTGGATAGCGCCTAGGCGAGTGTGCCTGCAAGCCCTCCGGGCGTTCCAGAGCTGGCCTCAGAGAGAAGGCCTGTGACCACCAGTATCCCAGCAGTAAGAGCAGGACCTCTCAGCACTCCAGGCCTGTCCCGGTCCGCTATGTGTCGTGTGTCAGGGACTCCAGTCCTGCTGGGCCAGCTGAGCCGATGGCCCAGTTCCTGGGGCGCAGCCTTGGCTCTGTGGACAGGGCTCCATCTTGGGCACATCTGCAGTAGGTGCCTTGTACACATCTCTCCAGCCGACTGGCCAAACCTCCCAGGCTCTTGCTATCACTCTGGTGGGTGTCCTGGAGTCCCTATGGCCACCACTAACTTGGCCAAACTCAGCAGGCCTACTAGTGAGAGACAACGCTCCCCTCGGCTGCCAAAGGAGAAGACTAAATAGATGCAGTTCCTACCAAAGCTTCCTGTCTGCGCAGAGGCAGGAGAGCGTGTGTGCGTGCTTGCACAGGTCTAGCACCTCCTCCCTCACAGTCATGGAGATGCTGCTTCTGTGAGCATCCTGGCCCTTGGACCACACAGGTCAAACACTCCTTTCCTAGCCCAGTTGTGCTCTGAGCAGCCTACTGGTCGGGCTGGTCCTGGGCCAAGCTCCCGCTCTGTGTGCCCTGGAAGAGGCCCCCAGCCTGGCGGCGTGGACATGCTAAGCCTCCTTCACAGCTGCTCTGGAGGGAGGTACTGGAGAGTGGGCTGTGAGGGGGGCCCTGTGCCCTGCAGAGCCCCCAGCCCCGCTTGGACTGAGAAGCCAGTCACAGTGGGCACTGGGGGGCAGCTGGTGGCCAGTCTGGTCTGGAGGCCAGCTTTTCTATAAGGACACATTTTCTGCTCCATGTTTAAAGACCTGGTTTGGGAGCCACTTCCATCAGTCCTTCCCTCTAGGAAGTATGTCAACATCTCACCTTTGCCCTTGACGCTGACTTTTCCCCGGCACATGAACTGGTAGCTGCACCCTTTCAGCAGCCGGTGAACTTCCTCCGTCACCTGCCATCGGAGAAAAGGGAGGTTACTCTTGGTTACAGACAGTAAATAAGTGGTCCTTTGGAGAGTGGGGACTCAGGTGCATGTGGGAGGCCATCAAAACCCCTCTGCCAATTTTTCACTCCCACCCCGACTGGGCCTGCAGCCAGGGCTGCTGCTCCTCTCCCTGACTACCCTTGAGAATGACAGGGGCCTGCAGGTACAGTGAGGAAACACCTGCACCTGGGTGCGTGGGCAGCACAGGCCCTCACAGCCGCCCATGGGAGTGCTGCTCCCAGCAATATTCAACATGTGGGGTTGTGGAGGGGGGCTGAAGGAGAACTAGACAGCAGGGAGGGGTAAGCAGGCTGAAGCCAGAGTGGAGACTGGAGCCCGAGGGTTGGAGTGAGCTGCAGCGTGTACCTCACCCACTAGCTAGGCTCCCGGCCATTTCACAAACCAGCTCCAAATGATGGGCAACAGCAACCAACAAGCACGACCACAACCCCTGGAGGCCTCAGGAGGTCAGGTGTGTTCAGAGTGCTGAGGACTGGAGGACTGCAAGGGTGCCTTCAGCTGCAAGGGGGGCCAGAGGGATCGGAGTCCAGAGCAACACCCAGGGTCCAGCCTCTTCACTGAGCATGGTGTCCTCAGTGCCAAGGTAAGCAAGGCCAGAAGAAGAGCCAGGTGTGTGTGTGTGTGTTTGTGTGTGACAGAGAGACAGAGAGAGGGAGAGAGAGAGAGAGACTCTCCCAGTGTGCGGGACATCTAGTGGAGAGCCCAGGAGGCAGGGTATACTTGGGCATAAATCACCCAAAGAGAAAAAGGTATGCTATTTAACTTCCTGATTCTCAGTTTCCCAGCCAATATGTTACTTGGAATAATTCCTACTTCACAAAGTTACAGAAAGGTAAAGGATGAGAAAGTATTTGTTATGGACTGAATTATGTCCCCCCAAAATATGTGTTGGAATCCTAACCCTGTGCCTGTGAATGTAATTCCTTTTGGGAGTACAGTTTTCTTTGTTACGTTAATGAGGTCGTATCAGTATAGCATTGCCTTAAACCAATCACTTTTGAGATGGAAAAGGTGCAGATTAGGCACAGAAGCAAGCATAAATGAGGAAAAGATAGATGGCACACAGAGATCTTCAAGGAATGCCAAGAAGAATGCTCCAGAAGCTGAGACAAGGACTTTCCCCCAGAGCAGACAGAGAAAGTCTTCCTCTAGAGCCAGTGCATTGAATTCTGACTTCTAGCCTCTTAAACTGTGAGAAGATAAGTTTATGCTTGTTAAAGCCACTCATTTGGGGTATTTCTGTTGTAGCAGCACTAAGAAACTAAGACAGTACTTAAAAATAGATAAAGTACTGTAAACAGAAAAAAACACGATAATTTGGTTCCTCTTTGCTTTATCTTGGGGAAGACGATCTTGGAGCCACCTGCCCATCCAACTCCATCCTTCCCTTCCCTGCAGAAGCCCTTTCCACCCACTCCCATACAGGTGCCCTTCCCTCCTCACAGATGTTCCCCCAAAACAGATGCTCCCCCTCACAGTCATCCAAATTCTGGCTTCTTTAGTTGAAACAACTCAATCCATTCCAAGCCCACTCTCTCTCATCTCCCCAAATTTGCCAGTTCTCAGCATTACTGGGGGTAAGAGGGATCCATTCTTTCTGTGTAAAGCTGAACTTGTGCCTTTTTAAATTTTCTTCACAGCTTTCATCCTGGTCTAAAGCCTGGCCTGCATGTTTGCATGCTTACTGTCCAATCCCCTCACTATGAAATAGATGGCAAGACACTGGGGACACTGTCTGTCTTGGCTACCATCTATCACAGCCCTGGCAGCACTTGCTGAATGAAAGGACTGCAGACCAGTCCTGAGGGCAGGCTGGGGGAGGCAGGGAATTATCAGGAAATCTGAGAGACAAGTCTGCTGCTCTGGGAGTGTGGGTGTGAAAGGGGAAGCCCTGCAGAAATTGTCACTGGGTGCTGTTACTCTACTTCATCAGTAACCCTTCCAATACCTGTGGCTGAATGCCTGTACTGCATCAACCCTGGGCTCCAAGGTCTGAAAGTTCCCTGAGTCTCTCAGGTGGGCAAGGCTCCTCCTGGGCCTCGTCACCTCTCACCTGCCCAGACTGTGTTTCCATGATGGAGAGGGGCAAGGCCTGGGTCTGGGTGTCACACCAGGTCCTGCTAAGGGGAGTTCCCTAATCTCCAACCATCAGTGTCCTACTCTAACTTTATCAATGAGAATAAAGCAAAGATTACTTTCCAAGGTCATTAGGTCAATTAGCAGAGACATACAGAGTGCCCAACAATGCTGGGTGCATGCAATAAGCTAAATCTATCTCAAGTGTTATCACAGAATTGATTCTCGGTTTTATGTTGTATATTTTATTAATAAAGACTTGAGGGAAACAGGAAGAAGACGATGGCTTAGATAGATGCATCTTAATGTTCCCCTACAACAAAGACTCGAGAAACCAATTGAAACAGATACAAATAATGACTCTGGATCCCTGAACATCAAAGGGAAGTTGAAGAAGTGGACTGAGCACCGACTGGACAGACAGAACGAAATCAGCAAGAAGGTGGGGATTATCAGAGAATCAATGTCTGGCTAGCTGGCCCAGCACAGCATGGCCATTTTGAGACAGCAGCAAACAACATCTCTTGGCAAGGAGCCCAGGAAGGCAACTTCACAGAAAACACAGCTGGAGTCAGAGATATTGAGTGAATAAACCTAGAAAGAAACAAGGTAGTCAGGTCATGTGCTGGGTCTCCAAGAAGGAGACACGAGGGAGTCCCATAGCTTTGAAGGCAAGGAAACACAGGGAAGTGCCACTGGAGCAAAGTGGCACAGATCAAGTCATTGGAGTCTCAGGACAGGGGACTGATAAGACAGGGAGTGTGATTCTGTAGAGGGACAAGGAAGAGTGAAGGAAGGTGGGTGGGAGCTTCCTAGTCCCTGGCAGGCGCAGAGAAAAGGAGGACATCAAAACTGGTGATAGGACTTCCCATCAGCAATGGTGCATGTCCATTTGGGTGGGAGACATCCATTGAATAGCGAAACAGCAGAGTAATAATCAAAAGTTTCCCCTGTGACCAGCCTCATGCCGATTCCCCTTCCCCTTCGATTTAAGCAGCCTCCCCCCAACCACCCCGCCTCTATAGCCTGTTTGGTGATGCACCTTCAGTGACTCACCCAATGCTTGACATGCTCACCCCTCCTCCCCCATCTGGCCCATGTGGAGAGGAGTCCCAGAGACATACCCACAGCTCCTGCCACCTGGCCGTATGGAAAGGAGCCCTGGAGATGCCTATGCTCCACTCACTTGACCTGTGTGTGCAATGAGGAACCCCAGAGAACTGCCTACCACACCTCTTACTGGGCTGAGTCCACCATATGCCCCACCTGGCCTGCAAGGCAAGACACTCAGGTAGCTCTCCCCACTCACTGCTGTCCTGCCCTTCCCAAGCACACTGTGCACCCCACCCAGCCTGCAAGGTGAGGCGAGGCGAGGTGCCCCTGGTGACCTGCCCAACAGGTACCCCTCCCATGCTCTACCTATTCCCTCAGGCTATCTGAGCATATGCAAAGGCCCTCTACCTTCCCCCTCTCACTAGGACACCAATCCATAACTAAACAGATGACCTGTCTCACCCATTAGAGTGGTACTGCATCTCTGCATCTGCAAAGATGACTCATCTTGCTCTCCAGAGGCCATGCTAACAGCACATGCCAATGTGGAAGGACCATACAGCCCCAGAAGAGCTGTGGAGAGGTCCTGATCACCTAACACCTAGAGCCCCACAACTGGGAGGGGTCCTGCTTGCACACCTCCATGAAATCATACAAGGGAGGACATGTGCACCCAGCAACAGAGGATTCCTGTGTGAATGCAATCATCATACCCACCGGTGAGAGAAAATTACTCCCAACCAACCAGCAGCATCATAGTCATACATAGACTAATACTACAAAGCACGATCAATTAAAACAAATACAAATACAAAAGAAGGCAGACAATTTAAAGAGAAAGGAAAAAAGCTAAGCTCCAGATACACTGAAGCAAAAGCAAAACAATACAAAAAAGACAAACATAGTTAAATAAAGAAATGTATAAACAAATAAAATAGAACCTTAATGCTTTGAAGACAGCAGTTAAATACAAATCCTATGAAGAAACAGGATAAGAAGCTCAAGCAAACAAGCAAAACAAAGGGATGGAAAACTTTCTCAGGAAGAGCTTGTAATAGAACTACCTGACAAGGAATTCAAAAGACTAATATAGGGTCCTCAAAGAGATCAAGGAAAACACAAACAAAAACCTAGAATAATTCAGGAAAATAATACAAGAACAAAATGACAAACTCAACAGAGAAATAGAAACCATAAAAAATAACAACTAGAAATTCAGAAGATTAACAATAAAATATTAGAAATAGATAATTCAATGGAAGGACACAGAAGTAGAATTGGAACAATGGAAGAATCAGAAAAATAGAGGACAAATCCCTTCATACTAATTTGTTTGAGCAATCATCAGAAAAAAGACTGAAGAAAAAAGAAGAAAGCCTAAGGGTTATGCAGGACACCGTCAAGAGGAGTAGTATATGCATATTAGGAATCCCAGAAGGGGGATAGAGGAAAAAGAATACAGAGAGAATTTTTAAAGATGTCATGGCAGAAAACTTCCCAAATATAATGAAAGATGAGAAGATTTACATCCAAGAAACTCAATGAACCCCACACAGGATAGAACCAAAAATAAATTCACCAAGACATAACATAATCAAAATTTCCAGAACCAAAGGCAAAGAAATAATTTTGACAGCAGCTCGTGAAAAGCAAAATATCACTTACAAGGAGCCTCAATAAGACTGAACCCTGATTTCCTGTCAGAAACCATGCAAGCAAGAAGGAAATGGGATGACATATACAAAGCCCTGAACGAAAAGAACTGACAACTGATAATCATACATCCAGCAAAATTGTCTTTCAAAAATGAGGGAAAA